GGCACCTGGTCAGAGAGATGGACTCATGATAGACCACTGCAACCCACCTCCCTGCCCCGTTGGGCCTAGCCTGTTGGTGCACCCTGAAACCGGGTGGACAAAGGTGGGTGAGGTTACCCCCTCCCCCGTTCAACCATGTCTCGGTGATGCAAACTAGGTCTGCATGGTCACCCAGGTTAATATCCTGGATGGCCGTTGTTTTACCATTTATGGACCTACCATTTACCAGCAGGACTTTGAGCCACAATCAAAGCACCCTTGACAGATGTCCATCCAGCCTCTGTTTAAAAGTCTCAGAGAAGGAGCTCCTACTACACTCTGAGGCAGTGAGTTTCACTGCTGAACAGCTCTTACCATCAGGAAGTTCTTCACATTGTTCAGGTGGAATCTCCTTTCTTGTAATTTGAATCCATTGCTCTGAGTCCAAGTCTTCAAGATAGTAGAAAACAAGCCTGGTCCCTTTTCCTTATGACAGCCTTTCAAATATTTAAATAATGGCTATCATGTCTCCACTCAACCGTCTCTTCTGCAGGCTAAATATCCCCAGCTCTTTAAGCTGCTCCTCAGAGGGCAATCCTATGTTATTTCTGATACGGGTACCAGATTTTCTGTTAAAGAAATTATGCTCAGGAACACATTTACAGTGTGGGCAGAAATTATTACTGTATACAGAGACTAGCAATTAACATTTGATTTAATAATCAGGGCTTTATTTAATAATTGATTATCAAATACGTTTGAAATTCATCCTCTTTAATGTTCATAGGAATTGATAGAGAATGGCACAGGAGTCATTCATTTACCTGTGTAATATTTGTACATGTGGAGAACAGAATACATTTTCACAAAATGTTTTTCACACAGTTGGAAAATGAGGCACTGTCACAGAGGTTTTCAATTTGGCCATGCCTAAAGGTTTGTTTTTGCTACTGTAGACAGGAAGCTAAGTCCCCTTTTGCATCTCCGATAGGGTAGACACACTGACCACCTTCTTGTGGGTTGTTGTAGGTTTTTCCGGGCTATATGGCCATGTTCTAGAGGCATTTTCTCCTGACGTTTTGCCTGCATCTATGGCAAGCATCCTCAGAGGTAGTGAGGAAGTAGGAAAATTAAAATAGTTTCTTCTTTTTTGAAAATGAACAAAATCTGGCTACCAGTATTAAAAAACTCAAAAATTACAACAGCAAAACAACAGAGAGTAAACAATCAGGCACATCAAATCACTCTCAACAAAAGATTCCCCCCAGGCACTTCCAAGCCATTAAATGCTAATCAAGGTGGTCAGTTGAAACATTCACACCTAGCTCCAGCAGACAAAAGTCCTTTGTCCCACCCTGGTCATTCCACAGATATATAAACCCATTTTCCTAGTTCCAACAGACCTCACTACCTCTGAGGATGCGTGCCATAGATGCAGGCGAAACGTCAGGAGAAAATGCTTCTAGAACATGGCCATATAACCCGGAAAAACCTACAACAACCCAGTGATTCCGGCCATGAAAGCCTTCGACAATATATTGAACACCTTCTTGTGTCTTGCCATTGTTTTGAAATTCAAATTCATCTGTGCAAGATAATGCAATGGCTGTTCCCTTTTGCTAAAACTCACCTATTTCCTGAATCTTGCTTTGTAATAACATACATTTCCTATTTTAAACTGCTTACCCATTGGCATTCATTTGAAAGGCATTTTCTCATGTCTTATGGAAAATGTTACAGATGTCAATGCAACCTGCAGGAGACATTAATAAAAAGGATGAAGAAATTGCATATGTACTAACTTTTGTTCTGTAATCTAACATGGGGCTGTCTTCTCATAATGGATTTCTGAGAAAGTTAGTGGGAACTAGGCTAGCCAGATGCATTTCTGTTGAGAATTTTCTCTTTAAGACGGAAGCTGTATTTGATAGAAGCTCACAAAATACATTTGCTGCTCCATGCGTTACCCGGCACTGCACACTTTTCAAAGGATATTGAACTAAATTGATTATTTTCCCCCCTGAGCCCATGATTACAGTGTGCAGTGTCATGGGGATAAAGCAATGCTGTCATTATGCAGTTGGTAACTGAGTGAGCCTTTCTTTCTTTCAGTATTTGTAGGATTTTCCATACTTTTTTTTTTTTTTGCTTTTGATTTACTCCCTAACAAATGTCATCCCTTACATCCCATTTCTTGTCATGATATGTGTGGACACTTCCCGTGCATTTATTAATCTCCCACTCAACATTCATAATATTTTTACCAAGTGTTTGATAGTTTACATAACTCATCTTGGTGCTGGGACAATTCATTAGTTCCAATCCTTTGAGAAGAGCGGTATACAAATATAGTAAATAAATAAATAAATGGTTTAGTGGGTTGTTGTAGGTTTTTTTGGGCTGTATGGCCATGGTCTAGAGGCATTCTCTCCTGACGTTTCGCCTGCACTTTGGCAAGCATCCTCAGAGGTAGTGAGGCCTGTTGGAGCTAGGCAAAAGGGTTTATATATCTGTGGAATGACCAGGGTGAGACAAAGGACTCTTCTCTGCTGGAGCTAGGTGTGAATGTTTCAACTGACCACCTTGATTAGCATACAATGGCCTGACTGCGCCTGGGGCAAACTTTTGTTGAGAGGTAATTAGATGTCCCTGCCTGTTTCCTCTCTGTTGTTGTGCTGTTGCAATTTTAGAGTTTTTTAATGCTGGTAGCCAGATTTTGTTCATTTTCATAGTTTCCTCCTTTCAAGGTGGTCAGTTTAAATATTCACACCTAGCTCTAACAGAGAAGAGTCCTTTGTCTCACCCTGGTCATTCCACAGATATATAAACCCTTTTGCCTAGCTCCAACAGGCCTCACTACCTCTGAGGATGCTTGCCATAGTGCAGGCGAAACGTCAGGAGAGAATGCCTCTAGACTATGGCCATACAGCCCGAAAAAACCTACAACAACCCAGTGATTCCGGCCATGAAAGCCTTCGACAATACATTAAATGGTTTAGATTACACTATGTAACACGGTTTTTGTTCCTGGGTTATAAATGCCAATTCTTAATTGTTTCTGTCATTAAAAATGTGGGGGGAAAGTTTTTTAAATCGCACATCCTGCAGCACATTTTCTATAGTTTTTCAATGAGATTGCTAATTTGAGTTTCAACCAATTCAACATAGTTTGTGACAGCCACAGAAATTGAGTTTCTAGAGTATAACAACTACTTTATTTATTATTTATTTATTTACAGCTTTTCTATTCCGCCCTTCTCACCCCGCAGGGGACTCAGGGCGGATTGCAGTGTACACATATATGGCAAACATTCAATGCCAATTTTTGGCATACAAACATATACAGACATACACAGAGGCTGTTTTTAACTTTTTCTGGCCGCCAGGGGAGCTGTCGCTTTCATCGTCCATCTGCGACGCTGATGAAGCACTTCCGCATTCCCCGCATGCTTCCCCGCTGGAATGCTTTGCTGGAGTCTTCTTTATGGCCTCATAAATCAGTTAATTTAGCCTCCCCACACATTAAGGTGGTACCTTATTTTCCTACTTGACAGATGCAACTGTCTTTCGGGTTGCAAAGGTCGACAACAGGCTACACACAATTGGTTGGAAACCCACTCCAACCCGGGCTGGCTTCGAACTCATGACCTTTTTGGTCAGAGTGATCTTAATGCAGCTGACACTCAGCCAGCTGCGCCACAATCCCGGTGTAAGTATTGCACAATTAACAGGAAATAACACTTTCAAACCAGGAACAGAAAAATAATTCAAATTTTGGTACATACAGTAGTGTTGCATATTTCCAAAAACAGTTTATATTGAATTTATAGCTTTGTTAGATGTACTGCGAAGTTGTAAATCTGAGTGCCATATTTTCTAACAGTTGCCAAGAAAGCCGGTCTGAGTCCCTCTACGGAGGTAGAGAAGATCAGGATATAAAAGTTTTAAATAATAAATAGGAAAACCTATTCCGAGCATTAGAAAACATGGTACAATTAAGTTGACAAGTTAATAAAAGTCCAGATGTTGACAACAAAAAAACTTCAATTTTCAAAATTTGCATCTGAAGCAATCCAAGGATTCTCTCTCCTCCCTTCCCCCCTCTATCTATATAAATAAAAATGTAATGTTCGTTTGTGGGATTAACAGAACTCAAAAACCACTGGATGAACTGACACGAAATTTGGACACAAGAACCTAACAACCCATTGTGTGTTCTTCACTTTAAAAAATGATTTTGTCATTTGGGAGTTGTAGTTGCTGGGATTTATAGTTCACCTACAATCAAAGAGCATTCTGAACCCCACCAACGATGGAATTGAACCAAACTTGGCACACAGTTCTCCCATGGCCAACAGAAAATACTGGAAGGGTTTGGTGGGCAGTGTCCTTTGGTTTTGGAGTTGTAATTCACCTACATCCAGAGAGCACTGTGGACTCAAACAATGATGGATCTGGACCAAACTTGGCACAAATACTCAAAATGCCCAAATATGAACACAGATGGAGTTTTGGGAAAAAGACCTTGACATTTGGGAGTTGTAGTTGCTGGGATTTATAGTTCACCTACAATCAAGAAGCATTCTGAACTCCACCAATGATGGAATTGACCCAAACTTGGCACACTGTTCTCCCATGACCAACAGAAAATACTGGAAGGGTTTGGTGGGCAGTGTTCTTTTGTTTTGGAGTTGTAGTTCACCTACATCCAGAGATCACTGTGGACTCAAACAATGATGGATCTGGACCAAACTCTACCAAATACTCAATATGCCCAAATGTGAACACTGGTGGAGTTTGGGGAAAATAGAATCTTGACATTTGGGAGTTGTAGTTGCTGGGATTTATAGTTCACCTACAATCAAAGAGCATTCTGAACCCCACCAATGATAGAATTGGCCAAACCTCCCACACAGAACCCCCCCTGTGGCAGAGGACGGCTAGTATATAATATGCATGTTTTTGCAAGCAAAATTATTCTCTTCACCATCTTAATGTTCTGATTCTTACTTGTTTTCCAGAAATACCTCAGAAACTTCTTCAGTATAATGCTCGATTCCCCATCATCTCCTCTGCATGTAAGTAAAGAAGACCTGGCCCTTTCTAAACACGCTATCTGTGAATTCTCATCATTCTTCAAGAAAGGTGTATTTGACTACAGCAGCCATGGCACTGGCTAACAGTTGGGGCCTTGTTTCCTCCTTGAAGAATAAACTCTTGTCTTCATTTCGCATCAGAACGTTTTGCATTCCTGGAAGACTTTCACCAGAAACACTGTTAAAAGCCATTTTTCAACGTTTATTCTGTCTAGAACGTGGCTTGTTTTCCACAACAGAAGGTGGATACAGCTGGCCACTCTGGGCTGCTTTGAAAACAGTTTGGATCCAACTCAACAACTCACGTTCTTCCTTGCACAGGTTTCCTGTTACAGTCTTCCATTTGCAAATACCTTCTTAGTGCAGATACCAAGTTTCTTGGTTTTGTTCTGTTCCTTAGCCTGGATTTATGCATAGATGGTGTACATCCATCTTAAGAATTGCACTCCCATCTATTTGATCCTGTCAATTTCCTCTTCTGAATATTAAATCATGTTAATGTTTACAAAATAAATACTGCAAAGGATTTCCATTTCCTTAAGTCTTTCACACTTGGAAAAGGAAATATTTGCTGTCAATTTAGAAGAAGAGGAAATGGCAGCTATTTCTACAAAGTGTCCTTTCCACGTTTTCCGATTCCGCAGATTGTAATTATGTACCATGTATTGCTTATGTGCTTAACAAATGCAGCATGGAATCTTAGCTTCGCAGATACTTCCTCCAGTAAAGGCGTAATACTATGACATGAACTGATCCTTTGTTGTATTGTCGAAGGCTTTCATGGCCGGAATCACTGGGTTGTTGTAGGTTTTCTGGGCTATATGGCCACGTTCTAGAGGCATTTCCTCCTGACATTTCGCCTGCATCTATGGCAAGCATCCTCAGAGGTAGTGAGGTCTGTTGGAAGTAGGAAAATGGGTTTATATATCTGTGGAAAGACCAGGGTGGACAAAGGACTTTTGTCTGCTGGAGCTAGGTGTGAATGTTTCAACTGACCACCTTGATTAGCATTTAATGGCTTGGAAGTGCCTGGGGGAATCTTTCTTTGAGAGGTGATTTGATGTGCCTGATTGTTTACTCTGTTGTTTTGCTGTTGTAATTTTTGAGTTTTTATACTGGTAGCCAGATTTTGTTCATTTTCATGTATCAATATTAAAAAACTCAAAAATTACAACAGCAAAACAACAGAGAGTAAACAATCAGGCACATCAAATCACCTCTCAAAAGATTCCCCCAGGCACTTCCAAGCCATTAAATGCTAATCAAGGTGGTCAGCTGAAACATTCACACCTAGCTCCAGCAGACAAAAGTCCTTTGTCCCACCCTGGTCTTTCCACAGATATATAAACCCATTTTCCTACTTCCAACAGACCTCACTACCTCTGAGGATGCTTGCCATAGATGCAGGCGAAACATCAGGCGAGAATGCCTCTAGAACATGGCCATATAGCCAAAACCTACAACAACCTAGTGATCCTTTGTTGCAAAAATAGGAATTAAAGATTTGTTAATGTGCTTTAAGTTTTACTCAGGGCTTGTATAGGATTGCACATGTATAGAGGGGGCAGGGTACGTTTTGTAGAAGTACAAATTGAAAAACATATCGTGACCTACAGTGGAGGCATGTACATATTCTGTACATAATAAAGATTTGTAAAAAGCAAAACCATTGGTTGCGACTAACTTAGAGACACTTGCTGTCATTCATGAATTCTCTTTCATACAATACAAAAAGGATTTTTCACTTCATCAAAACAGAGCCTTAAAGATTTTTTGGTATTAAGCGACAAGTCTGCAGGGTTTTATATTCCAGGAGAAGCTAATCTTGATTTTATTGTTGCCGAGGGGAGGAATTCTTCTCTTCATTGAGGATATTCAGAGGGCCTTATTTCATGGTTGCATTAAGGCTAATAATAGGAATTCTGTCTATAGAGGGTTGAAGGAGGAATATTTGTAGGTTTTGTGAAAATGGGGCTGTCCAGGCCATTCTTTAGGACAATGTACTGGTACTTTTCTTGCAATAGACTCCCACCTGCAAGTAAAGTGACTTCGTGCATTGGGATGGTTTTGGAGTCTGGTGTCAATATGTGCTACACAAAAGCATCATGTCAATATACCTTTCCTAGGGTTTCCATACTTATTTCTTTTCCCAGATATGTCCTCTTTTTTAAAACATCTGTCTAGGAAGAATTTTAAAATGTAATTGTTGGAAGATAGCGGGAAAAGGTATGTGTCGTGAACCAGAAGCCTCAAAGGAGCCAAACACAAGTAAAAAGGGTGCAAACAAGTTTTATTAACAACAAAAATAGCTTAGAAACACTTGAATTCAGTGAGTCTAGCAATAAAATAAAGTCTGTAGCAACTGCTAAGCAAAAAACGCAACTTGGAGAATAATCCGGATTATACAGAGATATAATCCGGTATAACAAAAACTTTAAGCAAACTGCTTCAAAAATTCAGAGTTCACAAAGCACAAGGTAACAAGGTGGGAGCAAGCAAAAATGTAGTTGGGAAACAGTCCGAGGTCGAGGCACGTCCAAAAATAGAAGTTAAGTCCAAAACGTGATCGTCGTCAAAAACAATCCGAAGTCAGCAAGGGGAGAAGTCAGCACTTACAGGATTCCAGTTGGTAGAAGCACGGAAGCACAACGATCTGCAGTCCCAGGACCCAAAGCGACAGTAAAGGCAGCAACAAAGTCCCAAGCCCAATACAACTCTTTGCCTACTGCAAAGTTCCAATAGTTTGATACCTTACTTTTATCCTATAGTTCCTCATCAGAGGTGGAGCTGGACTCCACCCTGTTGTCATCGCTCTCAGGTGCTTTTGCTTCCACAGCTGCTCGCCACCGCCCGTCCCTCCAGCTTTTCCAGCGTCTATCAAGACTTAGATCACCCCAAGTATTTCCAGGTTGCCAGTCTCCCAAGAACCCTTCAAACTCCTCACTTGAGGTGGGTTGCGTACATATGTCCCTGATCTCTTGTACATGGGTCCAGTCCAGCCCATCCTTCTCCCCATTATCACTCTCAGTCCCATCACTCCCTGTGAACCCCATAAAGTCTTCTTCCTCAGTTGGAGCATTAAGTATTTTACGGATCCGCTTCCTTTCCCTCTCTTCATCTGACTCTTGCTCCCGAGTAACCCGTTTCAAACCTCTACTCCCATCTCCCTCCTCCTCCATCTCAGAGTCTGTAAAACCTTCGAATGACTCAGTATCTGTAGGTGTCATGAATATCTCCCTAATTCACTTCCTTTGCTACTCTTGTTCCAGCACCTGAGCAGCCCTCTTTCCCCTTCTACTACTAGTAGTAGCTTGATCAGCACACTGTACTACAACAGTATGGCTAAACTTAATTAAATAGCACACTGAGGTTTACATATATTTCTAGTAGAAATTATGACAGATTATGTAGAAGGGATACTTAAAACAGGAGCAATCAAATTGGTGGTTATGATTTTCAAAACGTATGCCTTTTTAAAAAAGAAACAAAACAAAAAGTTATATTGCACCATAAGAAGAGGGGTTAGAGTTAGGAATAGGATTAGCCTTTTTCTCTCTTTTCATCTCTTTCTGGCCTTATTTGCCTCAAGCAGGCACTCAGCCAAGGGAGGACAGGGCTTCAGGAAGGGATGGAGAAAACTACCAAGGAAGAAAGAAGAGGAGCTGTCACCACCAGGCGCCTGCTCTTGCCTGATTTGCGAGGCTCCCCATATGCTGCAGCATATGTAGTAGAGTGCCACTCAATCCCATCAACCCCTCAAGTAGAGTGCCACTCAATCCCATCAACCCCGTTAGCCGAAAGATCCAGCTGCTTGTGCTCCGTTTTGGTTACAGCTCCAGCTGGGTCCTTCCCAATCTGTTATCGGTGATCCAGCTGCCAAATTACCAAATTATGCATACAAGTGAAATAAAGGTATATGTGGCGCAGCTGGCTGAGTGTCAGCTGCATTAAGATCACTCTGACCAAAAGGTCATGAGTTCGAAGCCAGCCCTGGTTGGAGTGGGTTTCCAACCAATTGTGTGTAGCCTGTTGTCGACCTTTGCAACCCGAAAGACAGTTGCATCTGTCAAGTAGGAAAATTAGGTACCACCTTAAAGTGTGGGGAGGCTAAATTAACTAATTTATGAGGCCATAAAAGAAGACTCCAGCAAAGCATTCCAGCGGGGAAGCATGCGGGGAATGCGGAAGTGCTTCATCAGCGTCGCAGATGGACGATGAAAGCAACAGCTCCCCTGGCGGCCAGAAAAAGTTAAATAGCCTCTGTGTATGTCTGTATATGTTTGTATGTCAAAAATTGGCATTGAATGTTTGCCATATATGTGTACACTGTAATCCGCTCTGAGTCCCCTGCGGGGTGAGAAGGGCGGAATATAAATGCTGCAAATAAATAAATATGTCTGTAATACAATATCATTGATATGATGTCACACATACATGCAAACGGTACACTGTTTAACTGACACTGTCTGATTTCAGCAGATATATTGATCTGCAAACTATGGTCACATATTGTCGAATGCTTTCATGGCCAGAATCACTGGGTTGTTGTAGTTTTTTTCGGGCTATATGGCCATGTTCTGGAGGCATTCTCTCCTGACGTTTCGCCTGCATCTATGGCAAGCATCCTCAGAAGTAGTGAGGTCTGTTGGAAGGATGCTTGCTATAGATGCAGGCGAAACGTCAGGAGAGAATGCCTCTAGAACATGGCCATATAGCCTGAAAAAACCTACAACGATCCTATGATCACATAACTGCTCCTGTTGCTGGCAACATGAAGAAGCAATAATATGGGAGTAATATTCGGCGCTCCATGCAGTCATGCCGGCCACATGACCTTGGAGGTGTCTACGGACAACGCTGGCTCTTCGGCTTAGAAATGGAGATGAGCACCACACCCCAGAGTCAGACATGACTGGACTTAATGTCAGGGGACTACCTTTACCTTATCTTTTAAGAAAATACAAAATGCAATTTTAAATTATGTATTATTTTCCCAATGTTGTTGAACTTTTGCCATTTCCCAGTGGAATTTTACATGTGTTTAGCAAACACATTTCTGAACCTCATTGTAGATCTGTCATGAACTTTCCTGATAGATTATCATCTCATATGTGTATTTTTCAACTGTCAAATATGAAAGACATCACATTTTAATTAACTCGATTGTATTAACAAAGCAGAAGAAATATGCTGTGTTCATACTGCTGGATCTTTATTACTCTCCCCACCCCCTCATATTGCTTCATGACATAGATCATTTTATAAGAGTTCTGCTGATATCTTTCAAAATGTGCGCCCTCCCGATTGTAGAATGTACTTTAAGTACATAGAATCAGCAGTATTTTTACAGATTTATCTGTACCTTGCAGAACATTTGAAGTGTCATCTGTCATTTCAGTTTTGTTCAGCACTAAATTGCTAAATTCTTACATGCCTACACTTTTTTACCCCATTTGTCGTGTTGTTTTATGATTGTGTGTTTCATACAGTTCTCTGATAATGATGAGTTAGAACAAGTACCTCCGTTTTTATGGCACACAAACTTGGCACACAGAACTCCCATGACCAACAGAAAACACTAGAAGAGTTTGGTGGGCATTGACCTTGAGTTTGGAGTTGTAGTTCACCTACATCTAGAGAGCACTGTGGACTCAAACAATGATGAATCTGGACCAAACTTGGCACGAATACTCAATATGCCCAAATATAAACACAGATGGAATTTGGGGGAAATAGACCTTGACATTTGGGAGTTGTAGTTACTGGGATTTATAGTTCACCTTCAATCAAAGAGCATTCTGAACCCCACCAACACAGAATGGGGCAAACTTCCCACACAGAACC